CTCTGTCTCCCAAGTGCTGGGATTAAAGGCATGCACCACCACGCCTGGCCCTATATTGGCATTTTTAAGAGAAAGTAAAGAATGGAGTTACAGAGCAATGTGCGTGCGTGCGTGCGTGCGTGCGTGCGTGTGTGTGTGTGTGTGTGTGTGTGTGTGTGTGTGTGTAGAACAGAAACACAGAGACAGTGTGGAAGGCCCCATGATACCAAATATCATAGCAGCCACCTCTGGGGTGTGACAACTTGGCTGTAGGTCAACGCAGACACTTGGCGCTGCCTGTATCCTTTGGGGACACTACTTTCACAGTTTTAAAGGCAAATTTCAAAGAGTGTCTTTTGTATAAGCCACCATGGTGACAACAAAGATCCTTGTAGGCAAAATTACTAACCACTGGAAATTAGTTCCCGAGTAGATGATATGGTCCTCTAAGGTGATACTCATAGAGTGAGATGGAGCTAGCTCCACTTAAAAGCCTCTGCCTTCAGAATGCTCACCAAAAGCTTCCGGAAAGCTGGACTTTAAACAGAAATATAGCAGAAGTGGTTCTAGCAAAAACTCCACATGGAGTCACAGCTGTTCATCTGTGCACCCCCAGCACCTGAACAGCTCCAGCACATCCAGAGTCCTCAGAAAAGTAATCATTAAAGAAAACAGGAGGGAGGAAAGGAGGAAAGGAGGGAGGAAAAGAGGGAGGGGTGGAGGGAGGGGACAGAAGCAAGGAAAGAGGGAGACAGGAAGACAGGACAAAGGGAGGGAATTTCTAATTACACTGAGGGCTGGTTCACTTAGATTTGAGGACTCTCTCAAACATTAACATAAATATCAGCCGAATGCCAAAATGCCTAGACCCAGCTATTAAGAAAATGCAGAGAATTTTTTTTATCAGAAATAGGAGTCTCAAAAATATAGATCCTTATTACTAGCCCTCCAAAGTTAATTAAGTGTGGTGGTGAGACCCATGCTGTTTGGGTTATTTATGTAATGAAAAGATCTTCTAAAAATAATACCCAAAGGCCCAGATCATAGGGCTGAGAGGCTGAGCCAGCTGGAGCAGCAGAAGGTGGTAGGGAGCCCTGAGCCCTGCTCTAGCACAGTCATTAGGATTAAATGGTGCATCTCTATTCAGGCTGCAAAACTGCTCCAGGAAAGAGCCTGGAACTGGCTGAATTTATGCCCCGTGGAGAGCTGCTGCCTCTGAGAGGGTTCCACTGTCCATTCAATTTCCTCTGTACCTTAGATCTCCACAGTCTCAGTCCTCAGGAGAGCCTGCTGGCTGCCTGCTTGTGTGGAAAGGGCCAATAGTTTAGCAAAGTCTGAGCTTGTTTCTCATTAGCTGGAAGCATAGATTGTCACCACTGGAAGGGACTCGTGGAGGTGATCTGGTGACCATGGGCTCTGATTTAACAAAGAAGTATTGTGCGTACAGCTGTTTATTGAGTTGTATTTGCAACAGGGAAGAAAGAAGAAAGGAAGAAGGAAAAGAGGAAGGAGGGAGTGAGGAAGGGAGGAGAAATCACTGAAGTGGTTTAGTGATACAGAGTGGTAGAAAAACTACCACCAGCCACCTCACAGACATTAGGATTGAATGAGCACTTTACCAGCTGCCCTGGATGTGGAAGGGATTATAGTCCTAAAGATGTTAAGATTTAGAAATAGATGTTGAGCATTGAGCAAGAATGGAGTGGACAAACCATGGAGACAGCAGGCAGCAAAATGTCTAGCCCTCTGCTTGATTTTGTGCAGGAGATGAGAATGATTTTTAAATCACTGTGAAAAAAAATCAAGATTTTGCAGAAGGGGAAAATTATATGAGACCCACATTTCTGTGTCCATCACGAAGCTTTAGGGCATGGTATGTGCGTTCCTCTGCACATCATCTGATGCAAAGCAGAGAGTCCAGGCTGCCTAGTCCTTCCTCTGAAAAAGGTTTCAGTCCCTAGTTTAGAGTGTTCTTGACACTCTATAAGAGTACATTTATTGCATTTCTTTATCCATTTAATCATTGTCTAATTTGATCAATAGATGCTTCAGGCCTACCAGTGGGGCCAGCCAGCAGGGAGCAAATGAAAGCATGTCCTGTTCTAGACTTTCTAGTTTTCTCTTGCAGAACATAGTGCTGTGGCCCTTACATCCTGGCTTCCTTCCCCTTCCCACCATGTATCTTGATTGCCTGTCTTTCCTGAGGAAGGATACCTAAGACAGACCCTAAGCCTCCTGTTTTCTCACCAAGTAATGCAGGTCTAGAGGGATGCATCTTGAAACAGGTCATACTGTTGGTCTGTTTCCAAAGAGCTCAACATTCAACCTTTACATTTTCAGCTCCTGCCTTCCAGTAACCCAGCGAGGGAGAGGAACAGTCCTTGACCTCACACATGGATGGGAGCAGGCACGAGCCATGGAAAAGGACTTGACAGCATATGCCTGTGATCCCTTCCACACAAAACCAAAGCCGCCTCTAGATGCAAGCCCGAGTATTTCAGTCTCCCTATGAGACCCAGAGGGTGGATACCTACTACAAGCCTGGAAGGAAGCCAGCTTAGGAGACTGCTGAGGACTAGAGTGTGAGCCATGAAGCTGACCTTGCCTACGTCATTCTGCTGGATCTAGTCCTAGAAGAACTGCACTGGGCCAGCCACTGAGCCCTCCCCAACTTGAGCACTTGCCTTTGGCTTTGTTGGGAGCCTGAAGCCAGTAGTTGAGCAGTGTCTAAGGCCAAGGGGTGGGTATAGAAGCCACAGAGTCCCAGAATGGAGTCCAATGGCACGGTCCCTTCCTGTTGCCTGGACTCTACTGTATTCAGAGTCACTGTCAGTGTGATCCTCACCATCCTCATCCTCATCACTGTTGCTGGCAATGTGGTTGTCTGCCTGGCCGTCAGCTTGAACCGTCAGCTGCGCAGTCTGACCAATTGCTTCATTGTGTCCTTGGCAGTCACTGACCTGCTTCTTGGCCTCCTGGTGCTGCCCTTCTCTGCCATCTACCAGCTGTCCTTCAAGTGGAGCTTTGGCCAGGTCTTCTGCAACATCTACACCAGCCTGGATGTGATGCTGTGCACAGCCTCCATCCTCAATCTCTTCATGATCAGCCTGGACCGCTACTGCGCTGTCACAGACCCACTGCGGTACCCTGTGCTGGTCACCCCAGTTCGAGTTGCCATTTCTTTGGTCTTCATTTGGGTCATTTCCATCACCCTGTCCTTTCTGTCTATTCATCTAGGGTGGAACAGCAGGAACGGGACCAGCAGGGGCAATGACACCCTCAAGTGCAAAGTGCAGGTCAATGAGGTGTACGGGCTCGTGGATGGGCTGGTCACTTTCTACCTGCCTCTGTTTATCATGTGTATCACCTACTACCGCATCTTTAAGATTGCCAGGGAGCAGGCCAAGAGGATAAACCACATCAGCCCCTGGAAGGCAGCCACCATCCGAGAGCACAAAGCCACTGTCACGTTGGCTGCCGTCATGGGAGCCTTTATCATCTGCTGGTTTCCCTACTTCACCGCGTTCGTTTATCGTGGCCTGAGAGGGGATGATGCCATCAATGAGGTCATTGAAGCCATTGTTTTGTGGCTGGGCTATGCCAATTCGGCCCTGAACCCCATCCTGTATGCTGCCCTCAACAGAGACTTCCGCACAGCTTACCAGCAGCTCTTCTGCTGCAGGCTTGCCAGCCACAACTCCCGGAAAACTTCCCTGAGGTTGAACAACTCTCTGCTCTCCAGGAGCCAAAGCCGGGAAGCCAGGTGGCAGGAAGAGAAGCCCTTGAAACTCCAAGTGTGGAGTGGGACAGAAATCACAGTCCCCCAGGGAATCCCAGACAGGTAACCCTTTGTGTGGGATGGAGGCACTGGGATGATAATCTGTGTGGGCGGTGAGGGTTTATGTGGGAGACCATTCCACAAGCACTTTACAGACATCTCTCTCATCCTCCTAATGGCTCCTTAGGTAGAACATTTACCTTCATTTTAAAAAGGCCCCATTAAGGGTCACAAAGATCATATCAAAGTCCACTTAGCTGGGACAGAATGCTCCTGACTCCAGAGTTCAGAGACCCTTCTTTCTAACTAATTAGGCTTTCTACAGAAGGCTAAGTATAAGGCCAAGCTCTGT